GAGCGCGGCCATGGCGGCGGCGCGGCGGCTCCCGGCCGGGCTCTTCGCCGTCTACAAGCCGCCGGGGGTGGCCTGGGAGCGGCTGCGCGGCGCGCTGGAGACGCGGCTGCTGCGCGGTGAGCGGCTCCACGTGCGCTTCCTGCCCGGCCCCGCCGCGGGCGCCGCCGCGCCGGGCCTGGTGGCCGCCCGCGTGCCGGTGCTGGCCGAGCACCCCCTCGGTAAGAGCCGCTGCGGGCCGCGGGGCCGGCACCGGCACCAGCACTGGCCCCGGTACCCACCGCCCCTTCCCCCTCACCGCAGTGACAGGCCCGAGGTTCCGGCGGCTGCGGATGGGAGCAGGGCACCGGCTGGACACCAAGGCCTCGGGCGTGATGGGTACGTTGCTCCATAACGGGCAGGTTGCTCCGTGAGGGGTACGCTGCTCCATGAAGGGTACGTGATGGGTGCGTTGCTTTGTGATGGGCAGGTCACTCCGTGATGGGCACATTGCCCCATGACGGGCAGGTCACTCCATGAGGGGTACACGATGGGTACGTTTCTCCGTGATGGGTACGTGAYTCTGGCCCTGCTGAGGCTCACGGTGACCCGGAGGAAAGCTCCTTGGAAAAGCCAGGTGCCCCCGGGTGCAGCAATCTACGACGTCTAAGGGCCTTTTTCTGGCATGACCCCCAAGACACAAATCTGTCCCTGCTGCTGTGGGAGGGGAAGAAAAAGTAGCCTAAGTGATCGGTGCTTCCAACTAAGTGACGTTCAGTGGTTTTCACCATCTCTTGCCTTCCAGTGCTTGGCATCGGCCACGGGAACAAGCTGCTCGCTGACCTGCACAACTGCCACCTGAGCAAGGTAGGTGCTGGCTCCGCAYCCAAGGGCCCCGCTTTGCTCTGCCTCGCTGCCCCAAACTCCTCAGAAGGGGCAGCAGCAAAGGGGAGGTTCATTCACTTACCCAAGCGTGCAGCATGAGGGAATGAGGGATAATAAATACTCCCTTGGAGGCCAGGCAGTTTGCTCCCTGTGCAGCCATGCTACATCTTAAACAGCTGGAGGTGAGACCACAGGAAGCTCATGGAGGCAACTCCAGGAGAAAAAGGAGGTGTTGCTGTCACAAACTTGACTGTGATTCTCTTTGTGAGCCTCAAACCAACCTGCACCTTTCAGAGCTTTTCTGGGTCCAGTGTCTCATTGTTCATGTGAGCACCTAGACCCAGTCCTCCATCCAAAGAACCCTGTTGCCTCTTAGTGCAGCATCATCTCAGCCAKCGCTTTCTAGCCGCTGCACAGTGGAACATGCAGTTGCTTTCAGGCCTTCTTCCATAAACTGCACTCTCTTCTTCTTGAAGGTTTACACTGTTGGTGGGCTGTTTGGTAAGGCCACAGATGACTTCTCAGATACAGGGAAGCTAGTAGAGAAGACAACATATGGTAAGAAACTGAAGGGGTCTGTTTAAAATAACCTAGAGCATGAAACAAATGGCATTGCAGCTAGAAGCAAAGCATTTAGATACAATGATAAAAGGTATGGCTTAGATGCTTTTGAATCTTTATTCATGCATGCCCTAATAGTCCATCTGTGCAACATATACATATAATAAAACCATATCTACATGTAATACAACCATCCTGCACAAAGCCAATGTGAGTCTTGACTACAGTGGTTGCTACTGGAATGGGTGGGACCCGGATCTCCCTGCAAGCCCTATCTAGACCCTTTAAGCTTTCATTGAATTAAACTTTCCAAACATCTGATAGGAGAAACTAGAACCAACATTGTGAACTCAGTTAGCAAAGAAACAACTTTCTTGTGTAGTCCTTGGCATGCTCCAGTGTGTAGAAATGATTCTCCTCTATGTAAACCTGTGTTGCTACCTTAATATTTGCAGATCATATCACAAGGGAAAAGCTGGAGCGGATTCTCGCTGTCATTCAAGGATCAAATCATAAGGCCCTACTGCTGTACGTATCCAGGCAGGAGATGCAGCTGACCTGACTGCTTTTTGCTCACCTTTAAAACCAGTGAGATTATTTTTGTCCCATGGAGTATTTAAAGGCGGGAGTCCTAGACTTCATCTGGACAGGAACAGAGAGAAGTTACTCTTCTCTGTACTCTGGAGAAAAGCTGCAATTTAAAGGCTCTGTATTGTATGCAGAAATCTCCAGTTACATTTTTAGCTATTATCTAAATTAAGACCTACACTTTTTTTTTTTTCTTTTGCAGAGATAACCAAGTATCTCCCTTCCAAACTCAGCTTTCCCATTGCCTTAGCTTACATATATCATAGCATTAAAATACGTGCAAAACTTAACATCTGGGCAGTTTGAACAATAAAATTTGCAGCTCTGCCTCCTTTTGTGTAGAGATATTTTGAATGTAATTGGGTATATGTAAATGTCTGCTTTGCTCTCTCTTTTTTCCCAGGCATTCCAACATTGATATGAAAACTCAGGAGGCCTATGAGATGGCTGTCAAAGGCTTGATCCGCCCCATGGGAAAAAGCCCCCCCATAATCACAGTAATTCGATGCCTCCAGTTTGCGCTTCCGGAATTCCAGCTAGGTAGGACTGCTGCAATGAGTAGGAGGGAAGGCCAAGTACCTACTGCAGCACATTAACYGATAAACCTCAGTTTCTTATTAGGGACCTAAGCAAGATGCATTGGTGAGAACTATGAAGGAAAATTTTTCCTTATCCCAGTATTTTAATGCAATGTTCAGGGCTTAGGCTGGGCTTGCTTTTCTGGAGTCTTATCTCCTTCTTATTTGTCTTAATAAAATAAGGTACTTGCTTTTATTTCATTTGAAATACCTCAATCTCTGTACTGCTTTCCTCAATCCGTGGGTTTGTTTTCTAAAATATTTTATATTCTAAAGTATAATTTTATATTTTCTAAAACATAAAATATTSTAAATATTCTAAAATATGTGGACATCCTACAATATTGCAGAAAATCATGACTTACCCTACACTAAGGACCTAACAGTCCTCAAATAATGCTGAAAGGACTAGTTCATCAGCACCGTGTCCTGTAAGCAAGGTTTAGCTTTACGTACAAGGTCCAGGGTGGTGTAAATGCTTTGCTGCTTCTGAAGGAATCTCTCTGACCTTCTAGAAATCCACTGTTTGCATGAGACTCAGCAGTACCTCCGAAAAATTGTTCACGAGATCGGGCTGGAGCTGAAGTCATCCGCAGTGTGCACCCAAGTGCGGCGAATCCGCGACGGCGTCTTCACCCTGGATGATGCTCTGCTGAGAACGCACTGGAACCTGCAGAGCGTCCAGAATGCCATTTGGGACTGTCAGCTTAAAGTGAAAACAGAGATAGAGAAAACCCTGGGTCCTCAAGATAAAAGTGGTTTTCATCATGCAGACGCTGAAATGGCCCAGGCTGGGGAGAGCTGAGCATACGTGTGGTCCCTTGTGGAGGCACCATCCACAAGTGATCCCTGCGACACAGTAAGGCAGCTCCATGCTGACGGAATGATGGRCAGCAGAAGGGAAGAGGTTAATTGCAGTTCACTTCCACCCTTTCCTTGAGATGACTTTAATCATCTTTTTTTTTTTTTCTTCTTTTTCATTGACAGGCTGTATTTTTTTTTTAAAGCATTGCAAATGGTTCATTAGCAGGGGCTGCTGTGCCAAAATTCCTGTTGACTTTGGGAACAGCAAGTTGCTAAGGGCTATGAAAACCCATCTCCAGATTTTTTAGCAGCAGGAAGAAGTGTCTTACAGAGCTGCATTCCCTTTATTGCAGTTGTTTGCAACTAGCAGCATAACCTCGCTACTGTATGAGTTTTCCTTGTGTTCTTGGATATTTTTGTTTTTCTTATATATTCTAATGTGTATTTCCTACACATTACCCTTGCTTTTAGATTTCAGACATGSAAGAGCCCAAAATTCATCAAAAGAGGGCTGTGCAGAGGAAAACACATCTTATGTGAACAAGAAATTGTTACATCCAACCCAGGCACGTGAAAGAGGCTTGTGATGCGGGACTGACGCATACRATAAAAACACAAGAAATAAAACACATCTGAAAGTGATCTAAGGGTAAAAAGGCTCTTTCTTGGTTCAACAGATTGGCTCAAAGAGTGTGTGCTACCTATTTTGGTGGGGCGGGGAGAGTTTGGGAATCAAACTTGTTCAGAGATATATGGYATCCTTAGCAGCTAAATGCAGACATTGGCTTGTGACTTCTATCCTGCAGCAAAAAACTGTGATACATCTGTACTATAGATTCTTATGGATCAGACTTGACAAAAAAACTGAATAGTTAACATACTCTTTCTATACATGGAAATCTGAATGCATACTTGCTTGTTGTTAGACTCAATATTTTTTCAGCTATATATTTTACCTGGAGAGCTGGGAGATCTACTCATAATATAGTGAGAGCTTCTAGCAGCAAGAAGAAATCTGACCTATTCCTCTTCTGGATTTGAGTAAAGTCAGACATACTTTTTTTCCTCCAGAGCCATTCAAGTACAAGAAGCGACTGGGATGAGCAGTAAGGSGGCTGTGATAAAGGATCTGCATTAAGTGGTAGCTCCCAGGCCTGTCCTGAAGCCTGCCAGAAGTCACTAGTTCCAGCCCTGGAGCCTTTCAGTTGTTCCAGGTCTCCTTGCACTGTAAAGAGCAGCCAAGGCGGCAGCGGAGCGGAGCTGCCGCCACGTGGCACCGTGTCCTGCCAGCTGCAGGGCCACCAAGGGCAGCCTGTCTGCGCTCACTCCAGCTGGCTGCTTTCTGGGTTGGCATCCCCTGGGATGAGGGACAAGCTCAGGGCACCTTCCATGGGCACTTGGCTGTGCTAACCAGAGTGCAGACCAGTCACTGCAGAAGCCTGAGGTAAGAGCTGTGCTGAATGCTTTCATGGCTGTCAATTTTATTCCTAATGTTCCTATAAAAGCAGGAAAGAGAAAGGTCCTTTCTTAGTCGTTTCTTAAACTTTCAATACCGTAAGTCACCTTTGCTTCCCATCATATGGCTCTCACCTAACACAAAATGAACAGTTTTCTATATATACTTATCCTTGAAACAAACAAAAAACCCAAAAACTAAGTTGCTTGTACTGTTGCCCAGCTATTTTTTTTTTTTAGTTAGAATGTTCCAGGCAAGAACATACCTGTAACAATCCCCAGAGTCCATGTGTACACAGCCATGGTAAATACTCTTCAGAGAAGAGCAGCTGCATATCCCAGAATGTGCATCACAAAATGGACAAACTGTCTCCTCGCTTTAGACCCTCTCCCAGTGATGCTCCCCATCCCCAGGGATGCTTCAGAACCAGCTCAAAACTGAGAGCACAACAATAATTCTCTGTTCTTAGCAGCAGCCTTTTTATGACTTTTCTGATCTCCAAGGACTATGGGCAGAGRGGACACCCTGAGCGAAGGAGGGGCGACAGCCCTGCAGCCCTTACAGCACTTCATCATTCAGAGCTGCACAAAGGAGCCAAATTTAGCTTGTACAGTCACCCTCAATCCCAAGAGCTGACAGTGAAACATTAATGTTCCCAACGTAATTGTGTGTACAGGACACTGCTCGCTTCCACAGTGACTCTGCACTTCAGAAAAAGCAGAGGTAACTCTCCACTGACTCCCTACAGATATCACTGCAACTACATTGTCTCCTTTAAGAGCCCTCAGAAAAACAGCTCAATAATAGATGTTACAGTTCTCTCAGAATAGTTTGAGAATTTGTTCCCAAGTTTACTGTTTTATGGGCTCTTAAAGGGAATTGTTGAGAACAGGATAGCTGTTTTATTCAGACTAGACAGCTTAATATAATGTCACATTTTGCTGTTTATTTACTACAGAAATGATCCAAAACCTCTAGATACCGTATCAGTGAAGTACAAAAATGCAGAGAACCCAATTCAGTAGTTCCAACAAGCAAACAAACTGACTTCAACCTTCTCTCCTCCCCACTTCTGAGACATTTTTGCTTTTCAAAAGCAGCTATTACATTGCATATTCTTCYGGCCTCACCTCCTCCATGCATTAAAAGCTGCTTCCACCTGCAGACTAGCATTTCCAAACAGCCTCACGATGCTGTAGAGAAACAAAAGCTCAAWAGGAAGGGGCTCAGCCTCAACCTTGAATTATAACCTTTCCCATGGAAATAAAAGAAGTGTTGAGCAGGATACAGACAAATTGAATTTATACAAAATACCACATCCTCAGCATGTGTTTTCCCACACACGGGCAATGGATGATAACTTTGCTGTTCTAAAACTTTTCAGAACAACAACAACAAAAGAGCTGTTAAATATACACACTCTTGAAAGTCTACATTCTTCCAAGTCCTCCTTTTATCAGTTTTACAGAGGTATGACACCAAAATCCAGCGGCCACCAACAGGCATCTTTGCAGGATACCACAGTCTTTAGGATCAACACTAGTCGCTGAGCTCCAGATCATATTCAGGGTACAGTTGCTTTGTGGTCACCCCTCGAATAACAGCTAGAAAAGAAAAACAAGTGCAGAAGCTTTTCTATCTAGATGAAGATAAACTACTAAGAAGTTTTTCAACAGCATTTCCATTCTTACCCAGTTTGCCTAGCAACATCTGTCCAGCATCTTTAATATCATTATACTCATGGAGTAAAGAGATGTGTTTCTCCAGCTCTTCCAGACTGTAGCCTCTATAAACACAAATTCAGAAAGATTATAAAAAAGTGATACAGAGGAGCTGCTGCTGCTCTACAGTGAGTGCTGCTGCTGCTACTGAACACAGACATGTGAGATACCAGAACTTGCCATTACCATAAAGAGAACCTGAAAGCAGAAGGTACATTTATGGAAAGTTATAAACATGAAAACTACARAGGAAAAGATTCTTATTTTTTCCCCCCCAACAATAAAACTTCTCAAAGAAAATCCAACATGACTCTCTGCATCAAGAAGAAATGAGTTSCCCTGCTTAAAAACAGAACAAAAAAACCCACATTTTTTTCCTCAAGTCAGACTGAAAAATTCCTAAATCATAACAAGCCACAAAAAAATCACACTAAAATAACTGAACTGTATCCTGTAGGTGGCATCCACCATGCCAAAATGTTCTGTGGGCCATTTGCTTGTCAGGAAAACACCCCYGTATCTTGAAGACAAAGGTCAATACTTCAAAACCTCCCTTCAAACACAGAACAAGTGCGTGTCACGTCCACACAGAACAAGGAAAACTGTTTAATCTGGGACTAAGCTTGGCAGGTCAGAAATCACAATCCCCAATTTAAATTCTGCAAAATTAAGTACTTTTGGTAACATGACATGTGGTAGCATCCCAGTGGTTAAAATTATATACTCCCAATTTACAGCAACATCTGAGGCTAAAGTTATCCTTAACCCATCCCTAATTCAAAGTTATTTTCCCCCTTTACCAAACACAAACAGTAAAAGTGACTTCTTGTTGCCTTTAACCGGTCCCATAATCCAAAAATACTGCAGTGAGCATCACGTAACATCATGATAAAAGCACCAAGGCATCAGATCATCTCTTAAGCCCAACTCCTGGGCCACGTTTACTTTTAAGAGGAGAAATTYTGAGGTTTCCCACTGAGCACCAAGCTTGCCAAGAACCTACTCAGACAAGAACTGTGCAATTTCCTGGTCTAGAGCGAGGTCTTTCTGCTTGAGCTCTTCAATTTCACACTGCAGGGCTTCCTCACTCTCTCCATTGAGTTGGCAAGACCTTGGAGATGGGACCTGTAGAGCACAGAACACATTTAACACTGCCCCCTTAGTCGGTACGGGACAAGATACTGCTGTGCCAGAGGAAACCTGAGGTAGGGAGTTGCAGAAAGTGCCACAGGAGGTGAACAAAAGTATTAAAAAACAAGAAAAGGAACGCGCGGGGTGGTGTGATAAACCATAAACACAGGGGTCCATCACCCCAGAGGGCCCCGAGGCAGCAGGAGGCCKCCGCCAGCGCAGGTGGGGGAGCCGGGACTCACCGGCGACTTGAAGGCGGCCGTGCCGCTCCGCCGGGCGCCACCGGGGGTCCTGCGCGGAGCAGAGGGAGGCGGCGCGTCAGCGGCGGGGCGGCCCGAGCCGCCTCAGCCGGACCGGGGCACCGCCGCGACGCCCGGGTGGGG